AGATCTGGTGTGTTTACTATAACAGTCCTGTTAGATCTGGTATATAGTGTGTGTGTTCCTATAGTTACTATAACAGTCCTGTTATATCTGGTGTGTGTGTTACTATAACAGTCCTGTTATTCTGGTGTATAGTGTGTTTATATAACAGTCCTGTTATGTGTGTAACATAACAGTCCTGTTAGATCTGGTATATAGTGTGTTTATCTACTAACAGTCCTGTTATATCTGGTGTATAGTGTGTTTACTATAACAGTCCTGTTATATCTGGTGTATAGTGTGTTTACTATAACAGTCCTGTGAGATCTGGTGTATAGTGTGTTTACTATAACAGTCCTGTTAGATCTGGTGTATAGTGTGTTAACTATAACAACCCTGTAAGATCTGGTGTATAGTGTGTTTATTATAACAGTCCTGTTAGATCTGGTATATAGTGTGTTAACTATAACAATCCTGTCAGATCTATTATATAGTGTGTTTACTATAACAGTCCTGTTAGATCTGGTATATAGTGTGTTTACTATAACAGTCCTGTTATATCTGGTGTGTTTACTATAACAGTCCTGTTAGATCTGGTGTATAGTGTGTTAACTATAACAGTCCTGTTAGATCTGGTATATAGTGTGTTTACTATAACAGTCCTGTTAGATCTGGTGTATATAGTGTGTTAACTATAACAATCCTGTCAGATCTATTATATAGTGTGTTTACTATAACAGTTCTGTTAGATCTGGTGTATAGTGTGTTAACTATAACAGTCCTGTTAGATCTGGTGTGTTAACTATAACAGTCCTGTTAGATCTGGTGTATAGTGTGTTAACTATAACAGTCCTGTTAGATCTGATGTTTAGTGTGTTTACTATAACAGTCCTGTTAGATCTGGTATATAGTGTGTTAACTATAACAGTCCTGTTAGATCTGGTATGTTTACTATAACAGTCCTGTTAGATCTGGTATATAGTGTGTTTACTATAACAGTCCTGTGAGATCTGGTGTATAGTGTGTTAACTATAACAGTCCTGTTAGATCTGGTGTATAGTGTGTTTACTATAACAGTCCTGTGAGATCTGGTGTATAGTGTGTTTACTATAACAGTCCTGTTATATCTGGTGTGTTTACTATAACAGTCCTGTTACATCTGGTATATAGTGTGTTAACTATAACAGTCCTGTAAGATCTGGTGTATAGTGTGTTTACTATAACAGTCCTGTTAGATTTGTGTATATAGTGTGTTTACTATAACAGTCCTGTTAGATCTGGTATATAATGTGTTTACTATAACAGTCCTGTTAGATCTAGTATATAGTGTGTTTACTATAATAGTCCTGTTATATCTGGTGTGTTTACTTTAACATTCCTGTTAATGTGTTAACAATAACAGTCCTGTTAGATCTGGTATATAGTGTGTTTACTATAACAGTCCTGTTAGATCTGGTGTATAGTGTGTTTACTATAACAGTCCTGTTAGATCTGGTGTATAGTGTGTTAACTATAACAGTCCGGTTAGATCTGGTATATAGTGTGTTTACTATAACAGTCCTGGTAGATCTGGTGTATATAGTGTGTTAACTATAACAATCCTGTCAGATCAATTATATAGTGTGTTTACTATAACAGTCCTGTTAGATCTGGTGTATAGTGTGTTAACTATAACAGTCCTGTTAGATCTGGTATATAGTGTGTTTACTATAACAGTCCTGTTATATCTGGTGTGTTTACTATAACAGTCCTGTTAGATCTGGTGTATAGTGTGTTAACTATAAGAGTCCTCTTAGATCTGGTATATAGTGTGTTTACTATAACAGTTCTGTTAGATATGGTGTATAGTGTGTTTACTATAACAATCCTGTTAGATCTGGTGTATAGTGTGTTTACTATAACAGTCCTGTTAGATCTGGTGTATAGTGTGTTTACTATAACAGTCCTGTTAGATCTGGTGTATAGTGTGTTTACTATAACAGTCCTGTGAGATCTGGTGTATAGTGTGTTAACTATAACAGTCCTGTTAGATCTGGTGTTTAGTGTGTTTACTATAACAGTCCTGTTATATCTGGTGTATAGTGTGTTTACTATAACAGCCCTGTGAGATCTAGTTTGTTTACTTTAACAGTCCTGTCAGATCTGGTGTATAGTGTGTTAACTATAACAGCCATGTAAGATCTGGTGTTTATTGTGTTTACTATAACAGTCCTGTTAGATCTGTGTATATAGTGTGTTTATTATAACAGTCCTGTTAGATCTGGTGTTTAGTGTGTTTACTATAACAGTCGTTTTAGATCTAGTGTATAGTGTGTTTACTATAACAGCCCTGTGAGATCTAGTTTGTTTACTTTAACAGTCCTGTTAGATCTGGTGTATAGTGTGTTAACTATAACAGCCATGTAAGATCTGGTGTATAGTGTGTTTACTATAAAAGCCCTGTTAGATCTGATGTTTAGTGTGTTTATTATAACAGTTCTGTTAGATCTGGTGTTTAGTGTGTTTACTATAACAGTCCTGTTATATCTGGTGTATAGTGTGTTTACTATAACAGCCCTGTGAGATCTAGTTTGTCTACTTTAACAGTCCTGTCAGATCTGGTGTATAGTGTGTTAACTATAACAGCCATGTAAGATCTGGTGTTTATTGTGTTTACTATAACAGTCCTGTTAGATCTGTGTATATAGTGTGTTTATTATAACAGTCCTGTTAGATCTGGTGTTTAGTGTGTTTACTATAACAGTCGTTTTAGATCTAGTGTATAGTGTGTTTACTATAACAGTCATATTAGGTCTGGTGTACAGTGTGTTTACTAAAATAGTCCTGTTAAAACTTGTGTATAGTGTGTTTACTATAACAGTCCTGTTACATCTGGTGTATAGTGTGTGTACTATAACAGTCCTGTTATATCTGGTTGATAGTGTGTTTACTACAACAGTCCTGTTAGATCTGTGTATAGTGTGTTTACTATAACAATCCTGTCAGATCTATTATATAGTGTGTTTACTATAACAGTCCTGTTAGATCTGCTGTGTTTACTATAACAGTCCTGTTAGATCTGGTGTGTTTACTATAACAATCCTGTTAGATCTGGTATATAGTGTGTTTACTATAACAGTCCTGTTAGATCTGGTGTATAGCGTGTTTACTATAACAGTCCTGTTAGATCTGGTGTATAATGTGTTTACTATAACAATCCTGTTAGATCTGGTATATAATGTGTTTACTATAACAGTCCTGTTAGATCTGGTATATAATGTGTTTACTCTAACAGTCCTGTTAGATGTGGTATATAATGTGTTTACTATAACAGTCCTGTTAGATCTGTGTATATAGTGTGTTTATTATAACAGTCCTGTTAGATCTGGTGTTTAGTGTGTTTACTATAACAGTCCTGTTAGATGTGGTGTATAATGTGTTTACTATAACAGTCCTGTTAGATGTGGTATATAATGTGTTTACTATAACAGTCCTGTTAGATGTGGTATATAATGTGTTTACTATAACAGTCCTGTTAGATCTGGTATATAATGTGTTTACTCTAACAGTCCTGTTAGATGTGGTATATAATGTGTTTACTATAACAGTCCTGTTAGATCTGTGTATATAGTGTGTTTATTATAACAGTCCTGTTAGATCTGGTGTTTAGTGTGTTTACTATAACAGTCCTGTTAGATGTGTTGTATAATGTGTTTACTATAACAGTCCTGTTAGATGTGGTATATAATGTGTTTACTATAACAGTCCTGTTAGATGTGGTATATAATGTGTTTACTATAACAGTCCTGTTAGATGTGGTATATAATGTGTTTACTATAACAGTCCTGTTAGATGTGGTGTTGATTTGTTTTCATTGACAGTTTTTTTATGAGAATTGTATTGTATCATCATTCCAAGTGACAGATTTAGAGATAACCATTATTTGTGCGTGTATATCATTGTCCATTTAAATTTAGGTAGTGCCTAATACTCCTAAAGATTATCTAACGAATAACATCACAATGGCTTAGCATGATGGGAAGGAAATCCCTCTATCATCAATAAATTCTACATTAATCAATAATATTCAGGTGAGTAGAAAATATGTTTACTCCTTTTATATCCAAATGTTTATCAGTTCAAAACTTTTGATATGAAAGTCACATATTTTTAATGATTAAAAATGTTAACTGCAGATGATGAGATGATAAGATGGAGACGAATAATGTAAGATAGGTGATGTTTAGCCCTACACAGATTATCAGTAGAATTAAGTGATTAAATAGATTTTATTTAGTGTCTAAAAAATATTCAAATAAGATATTGATGCATTGAATATTTGCTTAAAACTTTGATTTGAGTCATAATGCCAGATTTTTAAAAATATTAATTACATTTTAAGGCGATCTTTTTTCCGCGGTATTGGAAAATTATATAAATGTCTGGTTATCTTACATTTGTTTTTATTACATAATGATAATAAACAAATTATCGTAAAATTAAAAGTATATGGTTTGATTTTCCCTTGGTTGTGTAATTAAATGAGAATAAATATCACACTCTATGCTTTCTGTTTGGGGTCTTTATACTTAATAGGTTTGCTATCATTTATTCTGATGTAAGCGTAATTATGTACACCACGCAATTTTAATATGAAAAGGGAGAAAAAATTCTATGTAAAAGTGTTTCATTTGTATTCCAGTCAGCGAGTTCATACCGATAATTTGCTTGGTTAGATATGTATATACCTGAGTTTTAGTACGACTAGCACATCATAAACCTGTTTACAGAGGCACACTGCCGGTCATAATAAGATTACATGTACTGATACATTGATAACGAGGCTAGACCTGGTCATTAGATGTGTAGCCCGAAGCAGGGCCATGAAAGCCCTAACAATTGGCAATATCCCATACAGCTAAATCTATAATGTATATATACTAATAACCCTCGACCTACTTACCGTCAGTGTGTACTGGAGGCTATACAATGTAGAGATGATTCTCTTCCCGCTCCTCTGTTATAAACACACAACACAGACTATCTAGTCTCTCTGGAATATTTAATCCATAGTTTCAAAATTCTTTATCTGAAAAGAAACAAAAAATTAAAAAAAAAATAAACAAAGATAAATCATAGAAGCATCCAACAAGATAAACATTTAAAAATTAGTGGGCCTATAAATGATACAGTACCATGACTTCTTACTGACAACATTGTGATTGTAGAAACACTCATTGTAAAATGGTCGATGTCTTCAATAATTTCAATTACATTTGTAAAAAATACATTAAATTCATCTAAACATCCATTATTTACATCTTATACTTTTGATAGAAAAAATATGCCCTTGTAATATTCTTATTAAAGATCGCAATGTTATAGGAATAAAACGAATACTTTTCAAACATATCTGCATTATTCTAGCTATTGTCTTGTATCTAGGACGATGAAATCTCATTATTATCTGTCCAAAATGTGTGAACCCCGTCTGGGGCCTCTGCACCGAAGCTCCCATCCATGGATCGATACCAACGTTCTATGTATGGGTCATTCTGATATAATTTTGGCCACTTCGATACATATACGAACTTCGCATTGTTAAATTGATTCCTTTTGTGTCTGAGCTCAGCTACATTTACTCTACTGTCGCCAGAAATAGCTCCAAATCTAAACAGCTCGTCCAGCAATGTACGTCATGATTCTAATTTAACTCCGTACGGCCTCTAGAAACTTCGTAAAATTCCGCCAACACGGAAAAATCCTAATATGGCAAACTATGTTCCGTTTCCGCCATAACGACATTAACCGAAGATACACGATCGTAGTTCCATATAAGGCAAAATAGCTTCCTATAACGATTCTGACGTCAGCGCAAGGAATTTGTCCTTCTACTCCATATAAGGCAATTGTGGACTCGGAAGGGCAAAGGTTACTACTATGAAATCCATTCACACACTCCATTCATCAACTTACTACGTAGGTTTTCTCGATAAGAACAAAATGATTCCTGAAAATTTTTAGATCAACTTTTCTAACTGTATACGTAGTCTACAGCACGAAAATGTCGTTTTTGAAAAATTGATAATTTTACGTTAAATTAGCCTGACCTACTAGTTTGTAGTAAAATTTGATAGTAAAGGTTATCTATTATTTATGATTGACGTAGGCATTGACGTTAGTGGGAGCCATGGAGACGCTGCTGGGCAACCAGTCTTCCGTGTGCCGTGATTGGCTCTAGTATATGTGTTGGATCACGTGGTGTCCCATATATGGGAGTCTAGCGTAAACGGTTTCATTCATAAATACGATCCGGTGTGAAGTTCATTCAGAGTTTGCTGAGTCGAGGATCAATGCTGATGTGTAGATGATTTTAGCGACGATACTATTAAGCTCTCCGTAGTCGGATAGTGTTAACGAACCATTGGAATATCGGAGATACGTTATATACGGACTGTGTTATTAGTAAACAATGATTATGGACGGTTTGGATACACTGTCACAGGTAGCCCTAGCAGACCAAATGAGTCTAGCAAACCTGTGTTTTGACACTTCAGCATTTGGAGGGAGTCGACTTCCCTCGGAATCATTTGATGATTGTCTCAACACACCTGTTACAAGTAATTCGGATGTGACATTCTTTGGATGTGACCCATTGGGCCCAGTACCAATCACAGCCACCGGTATGTATTTTGGCTTAAATCTTGGTATATATTACAGATCAGCTGTAAGACAACACATCGTAATACAGCTGCCACTACTACGCTCGTTTAATACCTTATACATGTACAATTTCTTTATCATTTTTATGGTATGTTTTGAAGAAATGTTTCTTGTATATTTCTGTGGATTGTCAGTTGTACAATTTCATTCATATAGCTAGATAATTGATTCAATTCACGATCGATCCTCTCGGCATAGTAACCCCGCATAGCGTATTTAGACTTGTGTCTATTCTTAGCCCATTCATGTTGAACAGCCAGCATTGACGTCATGATATCGGATATCAGTTTGGCTCGCAGCCATACTGCGGCTTTCATTCATTACCGATTCGAGCCATATTTTTACGTTTTTCTTATGGAATAAACCTAAATATCGTTTTGTACATGATGTGAATTTATCACGGGGTTAGTACTCATCCCTGGAACCATGTGGAATCTGTGTTTACGTTTCAACACCCACGGATTTCGGCTAAAGCACACACCAAGGGGGCGGGGCTTACATATAAATAGCCGCAATCAGAGATAGCTATCCATTACAAGCCTACGTCATAGATCAGTCTCGAGTAGTCTCGTGCGTAATACGTGACCCAGGCAATTATGGACATTGTCCTCATACATAACAGCTATCATATGGCAATTGATCCTACCTAATTTTCATATTTTAATTATTCACATGTAACAGACAGTTGTCCACGAATTGTGAATAAATTATCCGTAATAAGATATTTGTCTTGTAGATTACGCTATTTTTTTCATCTTGATTTATATTGTGATATCCGTTTTCTTATAAAAATTTTAGTATAACTTTACAATGGTTATCATCAGTAAACGAATAATCATATCTTAAGAAAGGACTAGGTGATTACATAATATCATCATATCCGGCATTTACCTTGAATTTTTTTCTGTTTTCTATGATTTTTATTTGTGATTTAACTTATCGTTGGTTGTCTTCTGTCTTTTCAGCAAACATCGAAGCTCAGATTACCATACCGGAGAAGGATGGTATTTTTGCTAAGAGCCAGATACCCGTACAGCAGGATGACCAGGCAAATTTCTCTAATCTTACCCACCGTATCCAATACAAGGGAACCCTGGTCACCACATCCGTCACCCCTACATCTAGCAGCAGTGACGCCCTGCCCCAGGGGATTACGCCTAGCATCTTCACTCCTCTATCCCCTCTCTTCAGTATTCTGACACAGGCTACACAAGGGATACAGGCCCAGGTCGCAACCGGTATCCCACAAGGAATGGCAGGCGGGCAAGATTATCCCATTATTTCCAATGCTCAATGCCAACAGGTTCCGCCACCATCTTTTAGCCCGACCCCTTCAACTTCCTCCCACCACTCACATGCCGGGTCTCCAACACCAACTGATCTCATGATGGATCAAACGGATACATACTCGACAGGTTTCGGATCCCCTGTAAGTTCAACAGAAAGTACACCCGAACCACAAATGTGCGAAACACTCTCCGCTGTTGACACGTCCAGTCTGAACTTCTCAACACCGCCACCGCCGCCTTACTCGTCTCGCCCGCCAATGACGTCATATGAGAATCTACCAATGAAACAACAGCCTGTATTTAATTCTTGTGCACAACAGCAACTCAATTATCCTGTGACAACAACAATGTCTGTGAATGCCCCTCAAAGTATACCACAGACAGTACTGCATTTTACAGAAGACCTCAATTCAAAAGACATTAACATGAATGCCGAATTTAAATGGACGGTTCAAAATTCTCCCCAACAACAGCAACAGCAGCAGCAACAACAACAACAACAACAACAAATGAACACAAGCCAACCACAGACTCAGTTACCTGACTTTTCTGCACTTGGTCAGGTATCGTCACATGGTGTTACCGGCTTCACACAAGCCGGATTTCAACAAGTGCCCATAAAATCGGAGCCATTATCAGACTTGCCTAGTGACTTTATGATGTCAACTACACAAACAGACTTTGCTTCACCTTCAGCTTCGGTGTCCCCTACGCCATCTTTACCGGCTGTGCTCAACACACCATACCAGCAGGGGCCAATGAAGCTGATTCCTTTGAAGCCAAGAAAGTACCCCAACCGGCCGAGTAAAACACCTCCTCACGAGAGACCATATGCTTGCCCAGTTGAGAACTGTGACAGGAGATTCTCTAGAAGCGATGAACTCACTCGTCACATACGCATTCATACCGGACAGAAGCCTTTTCACTGTCGGATATGCATGCGATCGTTTAGTCGAAGTGATCATTTAACTACACACGTACGCACGCATACTGGAGAAAAGCCTTTTTCATGTGATGTTTGTGGACGCAAGTTTGCAAGAAGTGACGAAAAGAAACGTCACGCTAAAGTACATTTGAAACAAAAGATGAAGAAAGAAGCTAAAATTATAGCTACATCGTCATCTTTACCAACATCGTCAGGTGCTATGACGGACAGTCTTGTATCTAGCGGGCCTAGTGCGTCACTTCCGCTCATAGTCACTACTTCCTCGTTATAAACAGTCTCTTTCAAAACGAGGCTGTTGACATTATGTGATCCAAAGACTTACAAACATTCATTCATCTCGTCATTCATTCAAATAAACTACGAAACACATGGAATTCACAGATTCCAAAGAGACGAACAATATATCTTTAACTCATATGTCTTGTGCTCAATTATGGAGTTAAACTTTAAATAAATTAGTAAACGCGTGTAAATCATTATCAGGGAATCCGGTGAAAATTGTTATATAGATCAAATGCTTTAATATTGTCTTTCCTGATCCGGATCGCGGTGTATACAGAATATGTATTGAGTTATATGGAGTATATATCAGTATGATTATACGCTGTGGGTGTAAGACTGTAAAAGTGGACGACCGTGGAAATAATGTTTTGATCAGATTGCCAGGCATTAAAATTCCAGTTACGAAACAATCCCGATTGAAGTGTAAGACAAAACAAATGGCACCTCAATCTATCTAACAAAATTTCTAGTCTTGGTCGTGTCACTTTTTTCGGTGCTAGAGCCATGTAGTGCAATGATCAGCGTTAATTCTATATATATATATATATATATATAGATTGCTTTAAAGTCAATTGTTTAAGTTGCATATTATTACAAGTTTAAAATTTTAATTGTAAAGTTAAATATCTCTAAATTTTAATAATTAAGAGAAAACTATAAAGTTTCCTTTCTTGTTGTTGTTTAAATATTGTTGTTGATTTTGAATCCTTCATTTACGCATTGATCATTATTTTCATCTTATCATTATTCAGTCAGAGTATTTCATATGTTTCATCTAATTTTAAGTTTATCATTGGCAGCAGTTTGTTTTTGTCTTATAGTGCTTGATAAAGATGTATATTACAATTGTTAGATCTGAATTATTCTCCAAAGCTTTTGAAAAAAAGTGTCATTATAGCTTGTCGCTGAGAGCGATTTTTAGATAATTATCTGTATATGCCCCTTTTACTTTAAAAAGCTAAAGAGGCAAAGTGATTCCGAATGGCTTTACCCCAGGCAATATGAAGGGGATTTCCGAATGTATGTGATTCTGAAAGTGCTAATGTGAAAGGAAATATATATGAGAAGCATATTCAAATTTAAAGCATAACTTATTTTTCTACCTTCGTACAATATATAACTACTACCTAATATGTCTTTTAATGTACTTAAAGGTTTCAGAAACCAAAAAACAAAACTTTTAAAAAATATAAAAAACGATTTATCTGATTTTTCGTTTTTCCCCTTTTTAAACTTAAACTATTTCTATCCCAACGTTGAGCGTTTTTATCTATTTAAATCTTTTAATTGATTAATTGATGAGTCGTTTAATTAATGGTTATTGTATGTTTTATTATTCTTTCAATATTTTAAATATTGTGTGTTCGAGTCTTTAATTTGTTAAATCTTGGGAGGAGCGTTGTTAATCTGTTGTTCACTTCCCAGGCTCGTTGTCGGTGTTGTGAAAATAGTCGTTCAAACTGTTACCATGGTTACTGTGAGTATGATGCACGTTACTAAATGTCTGGTTGAATTTTGTTCAACGTTTTCCTTGTCGTTAGTATTACATATGATTGGAGTCTCATCCCGTTGATATCGCCTTCTATAAAATATCACAAAATAGCTATATATTTTCAAATCTATTTTCCTTATGTTGTCCTTCTGAAAGAGTTAATCTTGCTGGTTAAGAGTAAATGTATGGCAAAATTTGCCAAGTATGGATGTTTGGAGGTGAAATAAAATTGAAAAAACTTGATATATGATTTTTGTTTTCCTTTGTCTTGGATTGTTATCTCAAGCAATGACCGAATGATGAAATGGTCATGACGAGGGTACACAATGAAAAATTATCCATGTTTGAAAAAAGACAACTTAGGATAGCCACCAATACGTACAGCTAAGTGACAGACTGACCATAAACATGAGAAGAAGTAACTATTTATAGACGACCAATCAATAGAAATCTGACGTCATCATGTAGCGGTGATACATTATTAAGTTGATTGTGTTTAAACAAAATTTGTTTTCTGGACTTCTAATCTTCTTATAGAAATTGGTCAGATTGTAGATGTGTTTTACATTATTAATGACCATGAACCTGTTATCGTTATCACAACTTGTCAAACGACAATCCTCCTGAGATATTTTTAATTTTGATGAGTGGTTTATGGTGTGCAATGAAAATATGGTCAAAATAGTTGGATGCAAGTACACAAAAGCAAAAAAGTTTCAGAACAAAACAAACAAATGAAAAGTTTATTTTATTCACAAGACAGAGAATATGATATACACTTAAATGGAAAACGTTTCGCGAATTTTAGGTACTGCTGAATGATTTTAGATATTTCAACATAAACTGATTTAAGTTTTTTGATCAACCAAATAAGCTGTCCTATCCATGATGTAGCCTCTGAACATGGTACAACACATTCCTATAGCATCGGTCATTTTATTTTATTTATTTATTTATTTTCTTTCTTTTTTTTGTCTTTATTTTTTTTTGCGTTGTTCTCTTCCCAAAATACAGCATTTCAATTTTTTTTTTAATTTTCAATCACGTTGCTCTTTCACTTCAATTTCAATGAATGATTCCTCTTGAGCTCAGAAAAAAAGAGAGGAGAACGGAGATGAACGGACTCTCTTGAGCTGAGAAAAAAAGAGAAGAACGGTGATGAAAGAACTCTCTTGAGCTCAGAAAAAAGAGAGGAGAACGGAGATGAAAGAACTCTCTTGAGCTGAGAAAAAAGAGAAGAGAACGGAGATGAAAGAACTCTCTTGAGCTCAGAAAAAAGAGAGGAGAACGGAAATGAAAGAACTCTCTTGAGCTGAGAAAAAAAGAGAGAAGAACGGTGATGAAAGAACTCTCTTGAGCTGAGAAAAAAAGAGAGGAGAACGGATATGAAAGAACTCTCTTGAGCTGAGAATAAAAGAGAGGAGAACGGAGATGAAAGAACTCTCTTGAGCTGAGAAAATAAGAGAGGAGAACGGAGATGAAAGAACTCTCTTGAGCTAAGAAAAAAGAGAGGAGAACGAAGATGAAAGAACTCTCTTGAGCTAAGAAAAAAGAGAGGAGAACGAAGATGAAAGAACTCTCTTGAGCTCAGAAAAAAGAGAGGAGAAAGAAGATGAAAGAATTCTCTTGAGCTGAGAAAAAAAGAGAGGAGAACGGAGATGAAAGAACTCTCTTGGGCTCAGAAAAACGAGAGGAGAACGAAGATGAAAGAACTCTCTTGAGCTGAGAATAAAAGAGAGGAGAACATAGATGAAAGAACTCCCTTGAGCTGAGAAAAAACGAGAGGAGAACGGAGATGAAAGAACTCTCTTGAGCTGAGAAAAAAAGAGAGGAGAACGGAGATGAAAGAACTCTCTTGAGCTGAGAAAATAAGAGAGGAGAACGGAGATGAAAGAACTCTCTTGAGCTGAGAAAATAAGAGAGGAGAACGGAGATGAAAGAACTCTCTTGAGCTCAGAAAAAAGAGAGGAGAACAAAGATGAAAGAACTCCCTTGAGCTCAGAAAAAAGAGAGGAGAACGGAGATGAGACATCGTTTGTTATGAGCACTGAGGACAGGAGCTGTGAAGATGTTAACCAGATTTTGTCAAAAGATAGAGAGAATAATGAGGTCAGCAAGAACTAAGGGTGTCGAAACTAGAAAAACGCTGAATAAAAGAATATTAGGAAAAGCTAAAAAGTTCACTATTATAGAGTATGTAGGGGAATGAAAACCGGTAAATATATGTATATATATAAGGATGGTTTACATGGACAGTCGAAAGACCAATATTTTAAAGGCTGAAATTGAATTATTCTATTGGGAGGTAAAGCTTATTTGGTTCTACTTTATCTAAATCTAGATTTGTATTAAAAGGTGGTATTCACTTGTGTGCCTTTTGTACAATATTTAAACAGAAGAGTTATTGTGAAATCAACAGTTTTTATTGTTGTGAACAAAATGCTATTTAGGTTAAGAGACTGTGGTGATGTTGGTGTGGCTATAACTTGTGACTGATCAGCTTCTTTATTTAACAAAACATACAATTTCAGACATAACGATATAAATGTGATTGTCTTGCTAGTATTAAGATTTCCGTCGGATGTCCTCAGTGGATATTTTCTAAGTGTCTATACTGTCTTTATTAAATTTCTTACAGATGGCTTGACTGCGCGAAAAATAAACATCAGCCGTGGATAATTTGAAGACGTCCGCTCTTCAATCCCTAAGGAAGCTAGCAGCCTGTGTGAGCTGCACTGCTAAGCTTTAAAATGCGCGTCCGTAAGAAAATCGATCTGTAAGATTGACATACTTTTCAGCAGCAGTTCTGCCTATTTATATCACGGCGTCTCTATATATTGAAGACGTCCATTTATTACAGCAACTAGTGATTGCACAATCATGCTTTACTGTTCTATAGCATACCATTGACATTTCAAGCATGCATGTCTTCAGAAAATCGATTTTATCTGAACGATTTAGCGAAATAACATTCTGCTGAGGTCAGCGCAAATTACCTTGCAGCAGATCGTTACATTTCTGGAAAAAAATCTCCTATTTCGATATTCAGGGCTGCTTTCTTCTTCATTGAGGCATGTTTCTCATAATATGCGAATAGGCTAACATCTTTAACTCTTTACTGTGCAATATCTATGATATGAGGTTCTTTAAGTTATCAAATATACATATCAGAAATCTACACAGTAAGTTATGTAGTACATTACAGAAAATGCATCTGGTTCACTCTGCACGTTATACAAAATGACCATGTCTTTATCAGTTTATGTCCTTCCATGTATGACGAAATCAGAGAGGAAATAGTTAGATTAGCAGCTGACAAATTTTATAATTTTCCCATTGGCCTGGGTGACTTTTTATTTGCCTTTGGGTTCAGGTTCGGTCGTTGTAAATGTAGACGTGATATTCCTTGTCGTTATGTCTAGACGCTATGATGTATCTTGTCAATTTGTGTGAAACTTTAGATAATTTTTTTCTTTTAATCAATTGAAATTCATCTCTTTATGAATCTTTAATTGTGAACGGAACCTAATGCTACTGCTGACTGGGCTTTTTAAATATAGTAATATATATTGTACCATTACGGTACGTTCAATTAAACAGAAGCGTTTTGAACACAAGTGACAAATAACGCCATCGCATGCAAAACATCAATAAAATTTGTTTATGAATAAATTTTTCAGAAAATGATAATATACACTTGACAGTGTGACTTATCTTGTTATCTAGCTGCTGTTGATGAGACGTTAACACACTCAGTACAGCTGATCATGTACATATTTGGTACAACTAGTGTATGTAGCTTTATAAACAGGAAATTGTCTGTATCGTCCAGGTAAATACATATACTGTAGGTTTATCTATCAACAATAACGATCTCGTTAGGAATTCAAGGATCTGAAGTATTGTCAGCTTGAAAAAGTGCATTAATGTTTGTAAACAAAAACTATTTAAGATCAAGTTAAATATGTAAACAAGGGAAAGAATTAACACGAGTCTCCTGAAACAAAAAAGAGGATACGACCAGTTGTTACGAGAACATTTTGTAGTTTCTATTTAACGCCAAGTTACATTCTCAAAGTGAAAATCGATGTAGGTACAACAAATATGTATCAAAATATTGTTTACCAAATAATCAATACGAAATACCAGTCTCTGTAGCGCATAGATGATAACAATCGTGTTTATAATCATAACCGACCTGTATCTAGCGAGACTCTACAAAGTGTGTCATCATTTGTGATATATTGTGAACATCATTGTGTTCGGAACTCACTGGTAAATATGTAATGAAACATAACCTGTTAT